CAAGTTGATTCCCCCATTGTAGCCCAAATGGCACATGACGTTTAATGTATGCCAGTTTCCACAATTGCATCCGAGTCAACATTCTCAATTAGTGGCCGCATTATTGAAGACAGAAGATGCTCTTTAACCAATGAGATGGTTGAAGTCATTACATGTTTACGGGGTTAGATTCATGGAGACAGAAGACTACAGTACCACCCTAAAGATCCCAACTACTTGACCTCTTCAAAAACACAAATTTTGACAATGTAAATTAATAATTAAATAAAAACAAATTTATTTAATTGTTTAAGTTTAAATTAATTTTGCACAGAGCGAACATTATGCTAAAATTAAATTATCTCTTTAAATTAAAACCATATAAATTTATAACCATCCATTTATATTTATTTAATTGTTTGAGTTCAAATTAAATTTTCACATTGCAAAGCTAAAATTAAATTATCTCTTTGAATTAAAACCATTATAACCATTCATTTATATTTATTTACTAATTAATTAAAAATTTACAAATCTCCCCTTGATAAATGACATAAACCCCCTTACATAAATATTTATTTAGCTGCAAAATATATAAAAAATTAGGGGGCTAAATTAAAATTTTCTAGGTCCATAGGATCGATCCTGGGATCGGTCATATGGGCCCAGGACTAGTCCTAGGTCTGGGCCCTAACAAAAGTCATAGGCTCAAGACCAATCCTTGAAGGCCCAAGCCTAGGATAGCTTGGGCCCAGGCCTTGCCCACCTCTACTTTAGACTAACTATTTTGTTAAATATTAGCATCAGAAGGAGCATAAATCTCTGCACTTGGAATCAATGTTCTAAAACTCGACCTAGGGTGCCACCCGTCCAAGGGGCCAGGTATCTGGTTGACTGATCCAACAGGTTAAACCGGAGGTCTGACTTGTAATCCAGAAATTTTGAAATCTTGTAAAAACACCCTTGAAAAAAATGAATCATTCCCATAGGTTTGAAATCTTGCAAATACAACCCTATTACAATTAAGGTTTTGATTTTTTTCGACCACAATCCGGTTGATTTAGGTGGCCAAAATTCAATCCAACACCACCACCTGAACCACCAGCCTCCACTCTCCAAAACCCCTTTAACCCTAGCACTTGGTAGCCCCTCTTTCACGAGTCATGACTCGTGTATTGGGTTTATTTTTTAACCAAATCTCGGTTGATTCTGGTGTCCAAAATTCAATTTGACATCACCCCTTGAACCACCGACCTCCACTCTACAAAACCCCTCTACCTCCGGCACTTGATATCCCCTCATTCGTCGGCGGTGAAATTAGGGATTTGGTGAGCATCTGAAAATAATAAACTAGATCACAGAGGGCGTTGGTCATCGGTCTAACCGGTCCGTCTGGTTCGGTTTTCAGAACATTGCTTGGAATACGTAAATTGAAGATTTTCTCACTTATTGACATTTTTTTTTTAAATTTAAAAAATTAAATTTCCAATGAAAGACAAAAATTGGGTTTTTTTTCTTAACAAATAGAGGCTATTTTGGAAATAAAATCTAATATAAAGATTTTTTAGGTATGTTTGTAATTTATCATCTTTCACTCTACTTTATTTAACTTGATCTAACTTAAGTTATTAAAAATTAGAAAACCATGAACTACGTCAATTGCATCTTTATGTTATATCAATTATCATGTATGAATTTTGTTTCCTTCTCATTTATCTTTGTAGTTAATTTCGTATGATTTAAATGTATTGGTTTGTAGTATCATTCATGTGACATTATTATAATACTATATTCTCTTTGGAGAATAGTTCTACATCAATTTTCAGCAAGAGAAGAGTTCTACATGAATTTTTTATGAAAACTGCAGCAGTTTAGTTCTTGAAACAAACAATGAGAAAAGTTAATTTATACAATTTAATTTGTGTAATTACCAACCACATTCTTTGAGGTGAAGTTTGATGATACAATATAGGGATATTATCAATTTAGGTAGAACCTTTTTGTGAAATATTAAAAATGGACACAAGTTTCTATTTATTCAATTTAGGGACAATTAACTCTGATTTGCCCATAACTTTAAATCAAGGCCCTAACTGTTGCAGTAGGGTGTTCTGTTCTGGGTACCCTGCACTTTTTGAAGGAACCGGAACCGAAACCGACAGTTTCTTAAAATTTAGAACCAGAACCAGAACCTGTAGCAATGGTTCCGGTTCTGGTTCTGGGTATCCTGTAAAATTCCTGACCCCCCAAACTTTTTAAAAAGTGGCAAAAAAACCCTTAAAAACTTACAAATAACCCCCCACCTGGCACTTGTTAACAAAAATAAAATTACAAATTATAAATTATAAATTACAAACTCCATTACTTTGTAAAGGTAGATTCTCAAAAGTCAAACCAACTTACTTTAAATGTTATGAAATATAAATATAAATGTATTCACATTACTTTTTCTACAAAAAGTTTTTATTAACCCCCCTAATCTTTAATTTTATTTTATATTAGTCTCGATTCCTGGTTCCGGTTCCTAACTATAGGAACCAGAACCGAAACCACACAGCAACGGTTCCAAAAATTTGGAACCGGAACCTACCCATTGACAATTGATTCTGCATAGGAACCGAAATCAAACCGAGGGTACTCACCGGTTCCGATTCCAACTGATTCTTTTAAACACCCCTATCAGTTGCAGGGATATATTTAATAGATTTCAAACCTATAGGGACTGATGCGTAATTTTTAGGGGGTGTTTGTAAGATTTCAAACTTTTTAGATCACTGGTCAAACCACCGACTTAACCTTTCGGACCAGTCAACCTAAGACCCAATCCCTTGGCCGGGTGACACATCGGGTCGGGTTTCAAAACCTTGGCTCTAACATCAAAAACAGAGAAGAATTTAAAGCCGAAGTTCAAAATCAAGTGGGCTTTGCTTCTTGTTTGCTAAGATCCATGAGCCCGTTCAAGACTGGGCTTTGTCTAACTATATTTAACTTGTTACCTAATGGCATGTCTGGTGAACGGAGTATCGTTGATCACACCAAAAAGCGTTATTTCTGAAATATTATTACTCAAGTTATAAAATTGATACAACATAGAGAGTTGTAATAACAAATTAATTAAAATATTATTAAATGAAATTTAATTCCTAATTTCCCAGAGCTGAATTAAAGATCGATATAAAAAAAAAAAAAAAAATTTGAGAGATAATAATCAACAAAAATTAAATTTCTAAAGTAAATTTGTAAAGTATATTACGTATTTATGTGATTATATGATGTTAAACTCTAAAATTAAAAATATAAAAGATAAAATAATTAAAGAAAAGTATAAAATATCAAAATAATTAAAGAAAAGTATAAAATATCATATAAACATTAACTTGGAATTTTTAAGTATTATATAATTTAAGAATCAAATAAAACCGTATTTTCAATTTCCAGAGAAAACTTATAAATAATACAATAAAATTAGTAAAATAATCAAATCAAAGTAGAAACATAACAGTCCAATATAAGAATTTCAATTAAAAAGCAAAGTAAACCATTGGAAAGAGTGGTTTTTGTCCTTGGATTTTAAGCTTACTTTCTTCGCAACTTCCTACATAAAAAATGCACATGTTGGATTCATAAATAAGTATGAAAATCCAAATGAGATTCTAGCTTTATTTATTTGTTTTTTTTTTTCTTTTATGATTAGGGTATTCGGGTCAGTTTACATAACAGTCCAATATAAGAATTTCAATTAAAAAGCAAAATAAATCATTGGAAAGAGTGGTTTTTGTCCTTGGATTTTAAGTTTACTTTCTTAGCAACTTCCTACATAAAAAATGCACATCTTGGATTCATAAATAAGTATGAAAATCCAAATGAGATTCCAGCATTATTTATTTACTTTTTTTTTTCTTTTTATGATTAGGGTGTTCAGGTCAGTTTACGTATACTTCAATTAATCTGTTGAGACTCTGAAATTATTAATCAAGTAAGAACTCTAATGACTACCATTATTAATAATAAAAGAGATACTTAAATTCAGAATCTCTTAAATAATACACTAACCACTATAAAATTTATTATTATTATTATTATTATTATTATTATTATTATTATTATCCGTGCTGTCATTCTTATGTGTACTGTGTACATCACATCACAATTCACAACCAACCAACCTTCCTGGCAAGCAAATCTGTTCGTTGTGCACGAGAATAGAATAGTAAACCTTTTGTAAAGTTAAATTAATTACCCAATTATTTAAAAGAGTAAATGACCAATGATTGTGACATCTCATACGTGACAACTAACACAAAATTAACAATTAGCCCGTTTAATACTAAAATGTTTGAAACATAAACTAGATAAGATAAATCAAATTTGGTAAACTGTATTAATGAAATATCTTACTTGAATAGGACATCTAATTATTTTCTGTTTTATTCTATCTAATTAGAAACTTCATTAATGGATATGTAATACAACTATTTTAGACAAAGATATAAAATGATGACCTGCTCTGTTGTACTCCGTATTATTTTTTGTGTGATTGGGCTCAACTTGTTCCTTCATACGTGAATGTGATCAAATTGATGAATTAAAAATTTGATTTGACTCTTCAAACCTAAATTCAACGAACCTAATCACTTGACAAACTAAAAAGATAAACGTGACATAATGGAAAAATAAAATTGACGGTCCAAGTTGAAAGGGCAAAAACTAAAAGCAACCACCGCCAGACATAAATGAGCTGGACACTGATTTACTTGAACCAAAAAAGAAAAAAAAAAAACAAACAGCAGTACGAATTCCAATTGGTAGTAACTAGTAACAGGCTAACAGCCATTAAAAATCTACGAATAAATTTCTCGCGAACAGCGTCTGACAGACTTTTAAGATTGTTCGATTAGTTGAAGTCTGTATTAAAAAGCGGTAGCGCGCATGATTATTGTTTCAACCATAACACTAAAATTATTACCAGAAAAAATTAAAAAAAACACCATGATGTGTGCATGAGTCAGCTTTAGATTGATCAAGCTCGTCTCTATCTTCCGATTTTTCGGAAGACTGACAGGTAGACAATCTATAAAGCTCAACAAACTCAACAAATTTTTATAGTTTCTCTTCTGTGTTCTTCATCCAGAGAGCGAGAGACACCAATATTCTAGCTTAAATTTTTTTCTGATAAACTTTGAGAAGCCAACGAATTGTACTGGCAGGGTAAACGGGAAGTGAATTCGATTTTCCAAGGCCACTGCATTACGTGAATCTGCTTTTACTGGAAGAACAATAGAAGAAAAAAGGCATGTAGCATTTTCTCTTTTGAATCTGAACATGATTTGTGCTACTTTATAGGAAATGGTGATGATCTTTTACATGCCAAATACCCAGTTGTTTAGACTTTCTTATGACTAGGAATAATTTATAAAATGTTTGGTTTTATTAATTAAGTGATATGTTGCTATCTCATCTTGCATTATTAAAACTTATTCGGTAACCATCTGATTAGCAATTTGGCGGGTTTTAATTTTAATTTAAGGAAGCTTTCGATATCTTCAACTATTGGATTTTGTTGTTTTCGTGATTCTTTTTTAGCTCTATGTCTCTAATCTCCTGGATCTTTGTATTGGGCGTTCATAATTTGATGTCTGATCTGATTGCACCACATCATAAATAATAGAAATTTTAGTCTATAAATAGTGTTCATTTATAGACTAAAATCAGAACCTCTGCAACTTGAAAACTTTTACGGGCTAATTTCACAAAGTTGAAAACAAAACCTCTGCAACTTTGGTCTATAAATAGTGTTCATTTCATTGTTCAACATTTGCTTCAGATTGTTTCTCTCTTCTATGTTTCTCTGTTTATCGAAATCTAGAAGAGCAAAATTGAGGCTCTCTAGGTTGTATCCTCAGGTAAATAAGGCCTACAACGGCCAGTTCTCCCGAAGAGGCCATTTATTTTGTATTCATCAACTAAAGTAATTAGTTCGTTTTCGTTGACAATCCAATTATCCTAAGCTTTATGATGCTTTGAGGGCAATATATCTGGCACATAGATCTTCTCTGATTAGATACAGAGGAATATCATATATAAGTGTCATAAATTATTTGAGCATAAATAGATCATGCTGAACCTTGTCTTTTCTTTATTATCTCTTTTTAATGTTATATAAAGAAGTCTATATCGAGCCAAAATTTTATTTGATTGTTTTCTAAATTCTGCAGAAAAAGTAGCTTGAAAATATACCATACATGATGGAGAATGTTCAAGTGGGATCTCCCCAAGTTGCCAATGGAGTTGTTCCAGTACCGCCTCCATTACCTGGTCCAACAACCAGTTATAATCAAAAGGGGTTATTGATGAATGGATCTCCATTAAGAGGGTACAGTTGTGTCTCCACAGCAACAAAAGATTTATGGGAGAATCTCTTTGACTCAGGCTACAAAGCAGATGTTATTATTAACACAGATTATGATGGCATCATCTATGCCCATGCTAATATTCTTGTAAGTCTTTTAAATCTACCTTTTGTTTAATGAAAGTAAAAGCTTTTCTATGAAGAACAAAGAAAAAGATATAAAGATTTAATAATTTGTTAGTTAGTAAGGCATATCTGTGTAAAATCTGACACCTTAAGTAATCATACTGTCCATTTTTGTGATTTTGGTAACAGGGCATTGCTTCTCCTACTATGAGAGGGATCTTGAAGCAATCAAAATGTCGCGGACGTCGGCGATCTCTCTCAATTCGTGGTGTTCCACCAAATGCGGTTAAAGTTTTTATAAGATTCTTGTACTCTTCCTGGTAAAAGTTTTGCCCTTAATTGTGCTTAATTTACTGCTTAGAATTCTGCAAGTAATGCCACTGTGTGCTAATTGTTATTTGTAATTAATTTGTAGTTTTGAGAAAGTAGACATGGAGGATTATGTCTTACATCTGTTGGTTCTGTCTCATGTGTTTGCGGTTCCTCGGTTAAAGCGGGAGTGTGAATGTCAACTAGAGCAAGGTTTGCTCACCATAGAGAATGTAGTTGACATATTTCAGCTGGCATTACTATGTGATGCCCCAAGACTTGGCCTCATTTGTCACCGTATGATCCTCAGAAATTTTAAGGCTGTTTCTGAGACTGAAGGATGGAAAATCATGAAGCAAAGCCACCCTATGCTTGAAAAAGAGCTTCTGGAGTCCATGATTGATGAAGAAAATGTAAGACATTATTTTTTTTTATCCTTTGTTCTTGATATATGAAGCCTCTTTCTTCCTTTTGATCTAATTTTGAATATATTTTCAGAGGCAAAAGGAAAGGGTCAGAAAATTGAAAGACAGGAAGATCTATTTGCAACTGTATGAGGCAATGGAGGCTCTTGTTCATATATGTAGAGATGGTTGTCGGACAATTGGTCCATATGATAAAGATTTCAACGAGGATCAGGCACCTTGTAATTATGCAGCCTGCAAGGGACTGGAGTTACTCGTTCGACATTTCGCCGGTTGCAAGTTAAGAGTCCCTGGAAAATGCATCCATTGCAAAAGAATGTGGCAGCTCTTGGAATTACACTCTCGTCTCTGTGCTGATTCAAGTGCGTGCGGGGTTCCTTTATGCAGGTGAGTTATTGTGGTCACTTTAATCTACAGTATGTAATACAATGCAATTTGAGACTTTCAACTAACTGTGGAAACTTTGATTACAGCAATTTCAAGGATAGGATGAAGAAACAAGGCAAGAAGGATGAGATCAAGTGGAAAATACTTGTGGAAAAGTTATTGAGGACAAAGACCATTGGAGGAGCTCCTTCTTTTTCAAGGGCACTTTCTAGCCATTTAAGATAGTGCTATTCTGCTGTAATTAGCGCAAATATTGTAAATTTATTGCATTTGCCTGTTTGTAGAAGTATTTGTTCCAAAAGCACTAAACTTAGTCAAAATTTATTAATTTATATCAATGAAGTGTAGAGAATCAATATTGAATAAAATTTTAGTCAAATGAAATTTGCAAGCCCTAATAAGTGACCACTAAGGGACTTACCTGGTCATCAATTTCAAGGTTTTGATAAAAATATAAGGTGCGCGTAAACTAACTTAGACACCCTCAATCACAAAAAAAAAAAAAAAAAAAAAAAAAAAAAAAAAAGAAAGAAATTTGCAAGTTGGTAAAATTTGACCACACAGAAGTTTGGAGTTTCTATTCACCTCAAGTTACGTCAAGATTTGATTCAAGTGGCTATCTTGTTCTTGAATCAAATGTAGGACTAATTTGAAGATACTAAAATATGAGGCTCTAGCTCTATTTAGTTTTTGGGCTCCACGACTCGATGGAACCATAAAATAGCAGCTTTAAATTCTCTACAAAATGGGGCCTGCTAAGGCAATTATGGAGAATTTAGATTGATTGGGAATTCTGATAAGGATATTCATATTTGATACTATTTATGTCTACGCTTTGTAGACAATGTTAAAAGAAGTCGTATTCATCCGTACTCTTATGTTCTGAATCCGCGTTGCGCAATTGCTTCCCGTCAGTCTAGCAGTCCATCACAGACCATAGTTATAAAAAATTTGTCCATTAAAAGAAAATGTAATTTGAATTGCTCATTTTAACGAAAATATCTTTGATTTGTTCTTCTAAAAGATGTAAATATTCTATTCTAGCTAATAAAACACCGTGCTTTTCTTCAATGCACTCCACCGACCTTTAACCCAACGCTTTTGGCAGAACGGTGACGTATCTGAAATGGCCCAGCTATCTCTCTCAGGTTTGAAAGTTAATTCCATCTTCTTTCTCTCACCATACTTAGCATATTCGATCTGCTCCATCATTAACTGCTTGGTATTTGTTACATTCTTAACTTTATTTGCATCAAGCTTGTGGCTTTTTCATCATTAACTGATTGGTGTTTGTTCCAGTCTTTCTTTATTTTGCGTCAAGCATATGACATAATAAAAGTTTGTAACCATTTCAATTCTTAGAGGCATTTCAGCAGTCATTTGGTGCTCGTCACCTTCTGTTTTCTGTTTTCATCTTCGTAAATTGAAAGACTTGAGGAACATGCTTACATATCACTAATTCAAATTAGTTCCATGCTGTCTCATCTCTTTTGTTGGTTTACACTTCACACTAAGCAAGAACATCACATTCGTTAATACACTCACCAAAAATCTGAAACCAAAACACTTACAAATGCTAAAAGACTGATATTATTATTGATAACAATCAAATAAATGTGGATCACAGCTCAATAGGTAACATCAAAACATTCTTCTTCATTGAAATGTATCAGAAACTGATCTAAATCAAGAAACCTACCTTCAATATAGAATATGTATTGGAGTGGACAAAAAGTTTTGTTTTTGGTTCCCTTCCTAAAAAAGCTATACCTGACACCTCCTTCATCCGGCCATGCCAAATGCTGTGGCTGTAAATGATGAATCCCTCAATGGCCTTATGATTGGTATAATTCTCCCGACAATTTGTTCTCCTTATTATTATGATAATATGGCCCGTGCAAATCAGGCATTTGTGATTCTTCATACAAAATGTACCTCTCCTTTGTGAAGGAAGTTGTACCTTTTCAACTGACTACATCTGTGCTTGTGCTGGGATGTTCTTGATAATAAGAGACACCTTACAAAGTACTTCACTACTCCATCCCTACTGCTTGACATGCTCGTGATGAGAAATTTGATATACCAAAATGCTGCTAATATTGAAAATGATGTGGATTTTTTCAGCTAAATTCATCATTTTTACATAAATTTCATGGAGATAAGCTTTCCTCATCCGAACTGCTATATTGTCTCACATTATACCGGTTAAGCACTGGTAGTGAAGCAGTTGAAGATATTCGAAAGGATCTAGCTGAACCCACCATTGTTCTTTCCTGCATTCTTCCTACTTCCTTGCAAACATGATCCAGAATAGAAAGGAAATCTCTTACAATCATGAATATTCTGAAAGGGTGTGCTTCCTCCTTTGCTGTGTCCCCGTGAAAATATTCAGTAACCTCCTTAACATGTAACAAGGCCTTCCTTTCATCTGCCTTCATCCAAGAAATTTCCTCTTCTGCTTCTTTCAGAAACATCTTCATTGAGTTGAAGAATTTCCCCTGCATATCTGACTTCTCATATTGCAAAACCAATCGAACCTTTTCAAGCCCCATTTCAAGCTTTTTGACATAACCACTTAATACCTCTGAGTCCATCCCTGCTGCCTTTTTGACATTGCCCAGGTCTCTACTCAACCCAGCCACAACCTGCAAACCTTGCTTCTTGAAGTCATCCTCCCTTGTACTGGAATTTTTGTTTTCAGCATTCTCATTTGCAGAATTGGTAACAGCACCTTCTGATCTAATAATTTCCTGAACCACAAAGTGAAGCAATGTTGTCTTCCCATCTGTTCCCTTTATATCTACAAGTTTTAAGAGCGTATCGAGTTTAAAAGCTTTAGCATCTCCACGATTGGTGCCAACATTCATCCGGTTTCCTGTCTTGAGAACAGCTTCAAGGAGTTTGAGAAATAACCTGCTGTTCTTCAATTCTTCACTCGCTGCCTGACATGTACAAAGATACAAATATTAAGTTTCCAGAAGCCAAAACTGGCAAGTACAAAATGTCAAACCAACAATTGAACCCTGTCAATATTTTTAATCTGAAATACCTCTAGGGTTTGATATGACTTTCTAAGATATTTTACTTCAGTATCAAAGTTGGCTCTGTATAGCATTGCTTCAACTCTTTTAAAAGCAAATGGGATGTCAAGCACTGTCTTCAGAAATCGTTCTGCTGTTCCAAGTTTTGAGATGTCACCACTGTACTCTCGAAGTTTTATTTCTTCCTCCTTGGTTGGAGCCATCTTTACCAGTGTTTCCAAGAGCTCAGCACCTAAGCTCTCTGGGTTACCTGTTACAATAAAAAAACAGTGGTGTGATGTGGCAAACTCAAAGACAAAAGATCAAAATTAGACAGTCATGGGAAGTCAAGGATCATTATAATCATTTTAAAGAAACTGTCTTTCATTCCATCACTGAAATTTGAAAAGCCCGACACTGTATAATAGAAATAATAAAAAAATTTGGTGATGTTAATTGAAAAGTCCCAACCTATAAGCAAACCACTCTTTTTTTTTTTTTTTTTCTTTCTGGATCAAGTCTCTGTAGGTTCACATTATAGGTAATGCCCTGTTTTTAGCTTTTGAACCCAAAGAAGACTGTAAAGATCAAATAAAATGCAAATGATACTTCATTTGAACCTTCCCTTCATCTGTGTCTGCATGTTAGAAATAGAATTGAGACACTCAATACAAATGGCATCTATTGGACTGCTAGCAGTACTGTCACAACTGTTTTTAAGTTGTGAATTTTGTTGATTATAATTTGTCAAAGTGTACTTCGGAATGCTTGACGTGATACAATTAGGCACTAGAATAAGTAATATGGGAACTGGAATAGAGGGAGGGAATTCTATATATGTCACTAGCATGATATGTAGACAAAAGGAGGCAGGGAGCGAATGTTGATTTCGCTTCCATGCACTCATTTACAGCATAAAGCCTATTCTTATCATGTTAAAGATAAAAAATCCAAGTGAAAATAACTTTAATCTAGAACCATGAATGGTTTAAGTATGACAAATATATGTCTCTCAAATAAAGGATGGTCATGCAATTGTGTCATATAAAACCATTTTAACTTGCATTTGACTGCTCAAATCAAATCTGCTAGATACTCAATTGGCATCAACTTTTAGCTTTGTCTCATGCTTATATCAATTTACTAGTTTTGTGGTAATTTTCTGTGTATCTTTTTGGTTGGGTCGCTATGAGTCAGAAGAATTATAAATTTAGGCTTGTTTGGCTACTAGCATGTGAGCACAAAGTTTAAAACAAGAATCTTGCTCTATAAACCATTAATTTGAGGTCATTGAGTGGTATCAGTTAGTATCAAGGGGTTAGCATGTCTAGCTTACCTTTTTCTTTTAAAAAAATAAATAAATTAAAGTGAAAATTCCAAAATATTGTTAATTTTATGCTACTTCTCTGAGGGCACGGCCCAGGCAGACTGATGACGAGCTTCTGCAAGAGTGCCTGGGCCATGCCAGCCTATAGGGCATTTTATCTTAAGCATAATTTGTTTGAGTACTAGTTATGAAAAAGAGGTTAGGTGTATGAATGGATTAAAATTTGGACAGCGAAAAGAAAGGGAGTGGCAATTTACATGTGCCAAAAAGTAAAAAGAAACACTGATGACCTGGTCATGCTTTATTTAAGCTGAAAGAAGAATCACTATAAATTTTGTCAGTAGAATGATTCAAGGGCTTGAGTATCAGTTGACCTTTTCTCGTTTAGTGAGATGGCTTACTGAAAATATTCAATATGGACCAAACATGAAAGACCCTTCAGTTTTGCTGCAAAAATTTGAGACACCTTATCATGTCAAGTGTCAAGAGAAAGGAAGTAGCAGTTGGAAATCTTCACTCTGCTTATGGTTTCATTGTAAATAAAAGTAGTGACAAGCTAAGAATATGAAATCAAATATTTTACCGTTGATATTATTGATGGTTTTAAGTTTTAATTGAAGGTGTTTGACCCTCTGGCTTCTCTTCTTGTGATTTAAGGATTTTTGGTGCTTTTACAATCTTGAGAATCCTTTCTTTTCTTTTTTATCTCCATGAAAAGCAACAAAATTATGCAAGCATCATAATTTTGCTACCCTCTTATGATTATCAATTGTAGTGATGACAACTTCTAAATTAAGCTGTTCAACTCTCGTTTCTGTTATTCTAACTTTGTTCATCCTTTTTCTAGGACACTAGAGCTATAGATGCCATGACTATATTGTACTCCAGAATATGCGGTACTAGAGTTCTTTGAGCAATTTAAATTTTATCATTGCATAGCAATTTAGTCATTATATTGGTTTGAACTGAAGCAACCTATCAAAAGTCAAGACAAGCTGGGGAGCTAATAGAGTATAACAGATTTAGCAGTTAATTTCGCCTGAATCTCTATGACACCACCTATTGCATGCGAACCCTAGAACTTAATCGATGATAATATTTTTGAAAATAAGAACATTGCTTACCATCTAGAAGAGCTTCAGAGACTTCATCTCGTGTAACATTCAGTGCCCTCAACAGAATAGCTATATTCTGAGATTTCTTTGGGTCCAACACCCTGTTCTCCTGTTCGACAGGAGGCAAAACTGATTTTCGCGTAGCTTCTTTTGGAACTGAATTGACTGAATTGCAGCCAAAAAGAGTTTCCATCATGTCCTCATTCAACCTACAGACAAATTGAATAGGCCCAAGATCAGAAATTGTACATCAATGTTACCACAAAATACAAAACAAATACAAATTCACTCACTGAAACGAGCTTGATTTGAGTTGGTCCCACACTGTAGCTCGATCTGAGGTTGCCCGTACTTTGTCCCAATGCAGAGCCTTTAACTTTGGTTTTGCTCCATCTGTACTATCCCCTTCAGTCCTCTCAGCAGTACTGACACTTCTATTAACCTCTTCCACAGGAGTTTTACTCATTCCACTACCACTACTGGATTTATGACTTGGAGTCCAAGATTGCTGTTTTGGCAATACTGGGGTTGGTGTTGAGTAGAAAGTTCTGTCCAAAGAACCCACGTTTCTTGGCGCTGTCATTGATGGCGGCGGTGGGGGTGGTGGTGGAACCGGAATTTTAGTTGTTTGTGAGGATGAATTGCTGTTTAATGATCTAAGAAGCTCCATATTTGGTGGCGGTGGTGGTGCTGAAAATTTTGGCCTTTTGGGAGAATATGGAATTGATGTAGGCTGACGTGGCAATCTTTCTGGCAAATGTGATAATGTTGGTGGTGGAGGCGGCGGTGGCGGAGGTGGTTGCTGCTTTATTGATGGGATAATAACCTGCTTCAGTTCTGGAGAAGCGACCGCAAGCCTTGATTTAGGAGAAGTTCTTTTGGAATGAGGAACAGAAGTATTGTTATTAAGATGAAGCGGACGAGTTGAATTGACAACTGGTGTATAATAATCTTCATTGCTGATTGAAGAGCCCTGTGGGGTATAAAAGGCTGTGTCACGACTCTCTTCATCGGATGATGACGACATGGCAGTTGGTGAATTCTCATTCTGAGAAGGAGGCCTAGTTAGTTGTGGAAGTGGTTGCAATTCGGGGCTTGGCCTATACCGATCTGATCTCTTAATCGAATTCAGTTTATGATAAGGTGACCCATTTGCAGTTTCACTAACTGATGTCCTACTTGGCTCAACGGTTCCTATATACAAAAAGCTTGATGGGGGCACTCTTGCATCGTCTTGGACCCTCTGGGAATTGGGTCCGACGAGTTTCTGAGACTCACCGGGATGTTTAGACCTGTGGCGATAAAGAAAGAATGCAAGGGCTGATAACATTCCCAATGTGACAATACCAACTGAAATAGCAATGGCCACTTTTTTAGCTGGCTTTGTTGGTTGTGTTGCCGCTGGAATTGGTATGCTTCCATTCGTTGACGAGGAAGTTGTTGCCGGTGGTGGTTGATTCTGATCTTGACTTTGCCCGGCTGGCACCTCAGGGAAGAATGGCTGGTCTGGGTTTGGAAAAGTTGAACTACCTGGTGGTGGTGGTGCTGTTTGGGCTGGTGGAGGGGGTGACTCAGCTCCAGGTGGTGGTGCCGAACCTGCTGGAAACAATGGCTGATGAAGAATTCTTCTCTGAATTGAACTTCTGACAATGGTAGTTGTTATAGTTTGTGATAGGCAAGAAATGGACAATGATAGGAACAAAAAGAGGCTCAAATGATGAGCTTTCATGGTGAATTTTTCTGGGTTGATGTTATCTTCTTCTTTTGTTTCACCAAATTCATGTCTCTTTGGTGTTTTTTCCTTTTTCTCGGCTATGCAATTTGCAAAATCTTGTTCGAGAAAATAAGGAAATGAAAGAGGAGAGAGAAGGGGAGAGTGTGTGAAGGGAAGCTTCTTTTTCCTGCAAGATCTGGATGCTCTAGTCTAGTAGAAGAAGTCAGCAGTAGCCGCATTTTTTTTTTTTATTTGTTTTTAATTCATTTTTATTTTTTTACTGTTATACGGTGTCGTGCAGTTGCCGGTGAGAATGACACGTAGACAATAAGAATCTGCGTTGGTGGTTCTTTTCCACTCAATGGACGATAATGACCAAGTAGTGGTGATATTAAAAGGGCAACGTTCATGTCCCTTTTTGTCTATTAATCATATTATTTTTTTCTTTCACTAAAACCGAGAAAAAGGTACTTATATATTCGTTTTAATTTCCCCTTGCTTCCCGTTAAATTCCTGCGGCCAAGGCCTACTTTAGTACTTTTAATATTAACTTCTTGTTACATTTCAAAATAAGATTTTTGTGTATTTTTTTTTCTGAAAATTAAAAAAGAATTATGCCAAACTTCGTAATTACTTGTAGAGTAATGCTACATTTACACCACCCATTACACCATTTTCATTACACCATGATGTGGCATATCTCACATCCATACAAATTTTTAATTATTTTGAATTTTTAATATTATAATAAAATAATTATTAATAAAATGGTGATGGTGTAATGAAAATGATGTAATGGATGGTGTAAATGTAGCATTACTCTTACTTGTATCTAACGCGAAACTCAATTGCGGTTTATATAAATATCAATAATAATAAATCATGCCCGCACTTCCAAATTTTTTAACAATGTTGATGACTATTTTTTTTATTTCGAATATTATCATATTTTAATTATTATTGGATGATTTAACAGTAAAAGAATAAAGAATGATCTAAGATAATCTCTCAAATTTGAATCCACTTGATGAGAAAAAAACAATAAAAAGATTTAATATAGTCTTTAAAGTTACTAATAAGTGTGACTATTAAAATTTTTATCTGATCGATAATTCTAAAATTTTAGATAATTAATTGAAGTATGCATAAATTAACACAAGCAATTTTATCATATATATATATATATATATATATTACGAGATTTTTAAGCTAATATATGGTGTGATAAAAGAAAATTTTGAAGTAGCTTGTTCGTCAAGAATTTTATAACTGAAAAATTAGATTGAGAGGGAGAAATTATGGATGTTGTTTGGCTGTTTCTGGTAGGTTTGATTGATTGATGGGAACATGTAATAATGCACCATAATAAGCCCAATTCACAACCTTATAATATAAGAGTAATAATAATAAAGTGTAGTGTAAACTTAACGTAAAAATTGTACGGGAAGGCAAGGACATACAAGTAATTGTAGAAAAAAGTGGAAATATGGTCCAGGTTAACGTTTAGCCCTTTTATTGGTGGGTTGATCCACCGACCCTATCGATTTGTGTTGAGGGGGGGACATGCACACGCCCATTTGCATTTGCTTTTTTGCTTTTCTCTTATTCCTTTCCTCTTTTAATGGACATCCATATACTTTCAATGAGACTCCAGCCGTTTGTAATTACAATATGATCCCTACTTTGTATTTATTTACTTGGTAACGATTAAGACTCCCAAAACCGTAAGAATGTAGAAATACATCTAATCAGTTTAGTATTACCATTTCAAAAATTTTATATTACTTAATCCCAAAAACAGAAATTCCAAGGCAATTTGGGTCCTACAAAGCTGACCCACAAGTGAATTTGGCTACAAACTTCTTAATGAGGGTACAAGGAATCCAAACAAACCAATAAAGAGAAGTAATATACTTTACCTGCCACAACGGACACGAAATAAAAATGATTTTTAGTTGAAGAAATATTTGTTGTTGTATTTAAAGATAGAGTAAACAACTTTTTAGGATGATATTTTTCTATTTATAGACTTTTAAAATATTATTTTATTATTTAAATTTATATTTTATTTCTAATTTTGAAATTTGTAGCGATACTCCATACCACTATCATTCTTTTCCTCGATATCATTTACCAAAACTTCTCAAACCTTATTCCTGCTGACCTTACCAATTACTGGTAATCGAGCGATTAAGGTTTACATAGCCACTTTTCCTAAACTAAATTTTAATCAATCTTAACTACTAAAATATAACATTTCAGCACTAAAAGACTCACCGGCCTTCCTTCTTCAAAAGCTTCAACAGTTTGGATCGAGTTTACTCTTTATTTACCGTCGAAATATAAATTTAAGTAGTAAAATAGTATTTTAAAAGCCTGTTAGTGAAAAAGTATCATTAAACTATTATTTGAGTGAAAAAAAAGTCGGTTAACTCTTAAAGATATAATATAATGACTTATTTTAAGTTTTAGGTGATATATTACAAGGAAAAAGAAAGAAAATGGAAAGATAACTAATAATATATCCTTAAATTAGTTAAGGTGTTATGTATTAGGTATCAATCGTCAATCTTTTATAGTGTATAATGAAATGTCTTTCTATTCTTTATATTAATCTAGAACTTCGAGAAAAGAAACATCAACAACAAAAAATGATTATTAAAATAGAATCGGAAAGAGGATGAAAGTTAAGTTCCTGTTGGCCGACACAAATGTGTATGATTATTGGGCTTGGCTTATACTTCAAATCGAGTTGATTGACAAAGAAATGATATCAGTTGATGGCTACCACTGTTTATATTCATTAAAAACTGCTTTATGGATCATGGATCATGGCTGATTATAGCTGTCATCATGAGGAGATTATTAAATTATTAATCTTATTAAATAAAACATTACCCTGAGGAGATTTCCTATCTCAACCTCCAAGAAAGACAACATTAAGAGGGTCCCAGTGTTAGATATTGGTATTTTCTTTGTAAGCGGACATATTAGACGAGTAATGCTAGTTTTATTCATTTTTTTACCCATTTTTCTTACTCACTTTTATAAATATATAACATAATATAGGTATTATACGTATAATATAAATATTATATATTATTTTAACAAAAGTAAGTGAGGATAGTATTTTCCCATATTAGATTAGTTTCTGAATTCAGGAATTTTAACTTCATATGTGTTTATTATGAAAAAATGGTTGTTTGTATGATTTAAATGTCTCCAGATGTAACTCTTCTTTCCCAATTCACTATGCACGTTTAGTCAATGTGAAGAAACGAACAACATAAACCTTGTATCCATTTAATTTCTGAGTGGAAACAATGAACAAAACCACAGCTGGCTGGCTCAGATTTTCTTCTTGAAATTGCATGGAAGACTTTAAGAAACATGGTATTAAAGTCTTTTAACTACTTTTGCCACTCAAGTCAAGTCCAAAAATTGCTCTCTCATTTTATTGCTTAAATCGTACCATAAATTGAGTGAGAAACATTGATGAAATTGTCTGAACATACAATTGCAAATTGACATTCCCCACCCCACCCCCACCCCCACGCACAACACAAGGCGAATCCATGTGAGACATACCCATAATATTCGAGCAAAAAACTCTTTTATGAACTTGTTTTACATTAAATCCATCTGTCTGTTTGATCGTTGAAAGATTTCAAGAACAAGGTAAGTCAATTATCCTCTCCACGCTGTGTTCCCAATTAGAAAACAAATATAGCTCCCCTTCCTTGTGAGTACTAAATTTAAACAAAACTTACTATCATTTAATTTGTTGAATACTATTTGGCTTAAATATACTCAATAAAAATATTTAAAAAACAGCTCAATTGAAAGCTTCTAAATCAATTCTTAAATCAATAATTTATATCCCTTGCTGGTTATTATTAGCTTAAATAGTAATTTGTTTATTCATAAGTTAAAAATACAAATTGTTAAAATTATATATATATATATATTCAATTAGGATCCTTTCCTATATGAGTTTTTGTGAACATTTAAAGATCTTATGACATCTTTATATTAATAATAATATATGGTTATTATCTGTTTTTTTTTTTTAGATAATTGGGATGCTCAGACCAGTTTGTGTTATACCTCAACTAATCTCTGGAGTCTATTAATACCCTACAAACTCAAAGTATAAAATAAATCATAATATTATTGTGATAGATAACTCAAAAGTTTAAATTTAGATACTCAAAAAATGAAACACACCTCATTGACTGCTAAGTCATTCTCTTGGATTGATTATAATATATTTTCTTTTGATAAAATATCAACTATTTATCATATCTATGTATTTTGTTCTAGTAAAAACGAAGAAAAATTTAAGTGTATATTTGGTACCAGCCAAAAAAAAAAAAAAGGGTAAAAAATGGATATACACAAGATGGGTGTAGATAATGATTAAATGAAATTGTTTGATTCTTAATTCTTTTGCTGATATAAGATTTCAGAGTAGAATGAAATGATAATAAAAAAATTAATGGGGTGGTGGTAAACACAAAGCATAAGCAATTAATAAAGGTGAGGATATGAGTCAGAGGAGGATCAAAGTGGTTTCTTTAAGTTGATGATAAGAGTGGACAACACGAAAACTTGTTATGCTTTCTTTCATAATGTCCAAAACCAATGCCAATTATGCCCTTTTCTTTATTCTCTCATCCTTTTGGTTTGGTTTTGGTTTCCTATGTTTAAAGTAAACCTTGGTTACCAAATAACAATGGCATGTTTTGTTTTCAACATTCCGAACCTCAAACGAAAGCAAGCACCTTTGCATCATATGCGCATTTCTTCTTAATATTATTACTTTCACCTTTTTCATCCAAATTAACTTGATTTTGAGTCAAATTTACCAAAGACAAAAAGTGGTCTACAAAGTTTTTCAATTGTTATGATGAAACTTAAAATTAACAAATAATGAAAAGAACAGTGAATGTCAAACCAACTATAAATTTGAATTTAAGCTTTATCAAAAACAAGAACAGAGTTAAAATAAACTTTTTATTTTAAATAATTAATTAATGACATCCTCTAAAAATAAAATAAATCTGGTTATTATATTTCATATTTCAATTCCTATCTTTGTTATCCATTCTCATAAAAAAAAATTAGAGTTTATGAAATAATAGTGAGTGTCAAAAGTACTTGTAAAGAATGAGGAATTAAAGTAAATTTTAATAGTTTAATATGTTATTATAAAATTTAATAAAATATGAAGTTTCTTTAATCCATTTGTGGGCTACAAATAGATCTACTCTTATACAAAAACTTTCGGAAGGACAAGCCCATTTAGAATTGGGCTGGAAATTTGGGCCTGAAGAAATCAAGTTTTATTAATAGGAGAAAGAGAAAATGGATGGGTGTGATTAGTGATAATAGCGTAATCAACCACCACATTCACTGTTCTTACTTTAGCAGAATTGGGGCACGGTACTGGCAGCGGCAGGGGCTACAGAGTAGGAATTCAGAAAATCAAATCTTGTAACGGCAAAGGTAATCATACTCCTGCCACCTGTCCTGCTAAGAGACTCTATCTATCGTCTGATCAATCATCTCCCAAAAATCTGCTACTAGTGGGCCCCAAAAATCTCATACTTTTTTGTTCTTTGTCGTTTATGGGCCCTATCGGACCGTTGCCTTCCCTGTGCTTTCAGTCTCAATCACAAATTTCTAGGATACCACCAAAAAGTCAAAAGAGCAAAAGGAAGCCGCAGAGACAGCGACGTCGTTTTAATTAAGTTTTTATCCTAACGTTACACTTAAAACACTGCTCGTGATTGTCTTTGTCCTGTCTAATCCATGAAAAGCAAAAAGGGCCTCGATTACTTAAGAGAACGACAACTCTCTCTCTTCTCTTGTCTTTGTTGGGGTCTTCAAAGTTCAGATTTCCCACACCAATGCACAGCCTTTTTGTTCTTCCCCCACGTCTCCCGATATTCATATACAAAACACAGTTACCATTTATAATCCGAATGTTACACTAATTATTACCATTTAACATACTATATATAGTATTATTAAATATGTTCTATATGATAATTTTACTAGTTCCCACATTGCAAAACCCCTCTTTTTATGCACTTTTTAACATTTTGTACTACAAGTATTAGGTAATGGCTTTCCTATATATAAACAGACAACAGTTGCAGAGACAGGAGATGCCCAGCCACAACAAACTTTTTTTTTTTTTTTTTTATATATATTTTATAATTATATTTGTTAACAGTAGAAGTGTGTAGTGTAACTGTGTTAACAGTAGAGGTGTGTAGTAAGTGTAGTGTGTTGCAACTTCACAAGTTATTTTTCTTCCAGATTTTAGATTAGATCTTCTCTCTGCTACTCAAAGCCTGAAATGTTGAAGATGAAGTCGCTCTTTCAGCTTTTCCATCTTTGTTTACTAGGTCTTACAGGTAATGCGAAGATCACTACTACTGAAATGTTGAAGGTGAAGGCGTTCTTTCAGCTCTTCCTTCTTTGTTTACTGGGTCTTACAGGTAATGCTTCATACACTTTCTTTATCACTGAACATGTCTTGTGTTTCTTCTTCTTTTGTTTTACAAAGAGGCTCTTTCATGTTTTCTCTTATTATTGCAGTTACAGGTCAAGAAAATTTTCAACTTCTTAATCTCTATGACACTAGTTCTCCAGGATCTGTTCAAGCTTCGTCTCACTCTGGTCTGCCTATAGCAGTTTCTGTGAGTGTTAATAACCTGAATGAAATCTCTGGCAGTGTCTTAATGGCTGAGAGTTGGCTCAGGACTTATGTTCTGGCTTACTACCCTGCCTCCAAAATCACCACCATTGTTGTGGGTAACAATGTTGTTTGCCAGAAGGACCAAGAGGACAACTTGGCTCTTATTCTACCATCTCTCAAGAACATTTATCACTCTCTGACAAGGTGGGGTTTGGAGGGAGAAATCAAAGTCTCTCCAGCCTTCTCTTCCAACTGCTTGCAGCCCCATCTAGCTGAGAAATTTATGAGACCTTTGTTGAAGTTTCTCCTCACTGCAAACTCCACTTTCTCCTTAAACCCTCCTCCAATGTTATATCCTTTATCAGATAAAACTAAAAATAACACCTTTGTGTCTTCTCACTTGGAGTCCATAAAAAACCTTGGACTTTTAACACCCAACAATATCAATGTTTTAGTCTACATTCCCAAAGAAGCAAAACCAAGAAGCAGAAAGCTCTCAGATTCTGACTCCAAGGTTATAAACCCATACCCAGCAAGACCAACACCATTACCAGAAATCTCCCCAATTCACTCCTCTATAGGCTACTCCATTCCAGCCCACGTGACCAAATCTCCACAACCCCCACTATCACACTCTACTTCTCCACCACCATTATCTTTCCCTTTCGCTGCTCCACCTCCATTTAATTTCCCTTCAGATTCTCCACCTCCATTTAATTTCCCTTCAGATTCTCCACCTCCTTTGACCTTTCCTTCAGATTCTCCACCACCATTGACTTTTCCTTCAGACTCTCCGCCACCAACGCCTTTCTATAAGGCGCCAGAAACGCCACCTGAGACTTTTCCAGCCTCACCGCCTTATGGGTTCTCTTTGCCTCCTTGTAATCCAATTGATAACACTGTGGCCCCGTCACCTGAGCCTACAGGGGTGGTACAGAGTTTATGGTGTGTAGCTAAGCCTAGTGTGCCAGCTGAGACTCTGCAGGAGGCCATGGACTATGCTTGTGGTGATGGTGGTGCTGATTGTGAGGAGATCATGCCTAATGGAAACTGTTTCTATCCTGATACTGTTGTAGCTCACGCTTCTTATGCTTTCAATAGTTATTGGCAGAAGACCAAGAGAAATGGAGGAACTTGTAGCTTTGGAGGGACTGCTATGATTATCAATGCTGATCCAAGTAAGCTTTCTTTTCTTTAGTAAATGATATATTTGTTGAAATATTGAGTTCTCTTTCAATTATTGTTCAATCTACTTATGAGTTGAATTAATATATTAGTGACTGTGTGCTAGAATTAGTGGTAATCCTTTGAGAACTTGGGCTTTCAGGTTATCTTCACTGTCGGTTTGTTCTCAGCTGAAGACAGTAAAGCAAGTGGTTATGGAGAATGTTGGGATTGTATTGGTACAGAATAGGATTAGTGGGTCTAATACTATATCCAATTTGACTGCTTTTCCCTTTATCTAGGCTGATTACCATAGTTTAGTATAATATTGCATGTAAGAATCTGTAGCTTTTGGAGATTTGCTTCTTTATGACTAATGTACTTATGGGGTATTCTATGCACAAAGTGGAAGTGCTTTTGACCGCTATGCTATATAATATAGACACTTATTTTGCTTTGTTTGAATAGATCTTGCTTTTCTTTATCTTCTTTTCGATTTTTGGATTTGCATGTTATCTGTCAACAATTGATATGACTCTGTTGCTCGGTGGTGAAAAATATTGTGTGTATTTGAAGGAGACTTAATTAGTGAAATTAACATCAGATTGCCGACTCACATTATGTTTAAACAACTTTTCATCATTCTACAGAAAATCGTCAATTGCGAACCAAAACAATGTATACTTTATCATTTATACTACAGATACAGAAAATCGTCAATTGCGAACCAAAACAATGTATACTTTATCATTTATACTACAGATAAAGGATCATCAAGAAGATTAGAACCAGAAGGGTTAACTAAGAAATCCTATAGAAAGAAAATGATTTCTATATGACAGAACTCTAAGAAAATGTATATTGAGCTGATCACATTGAGTTTAAGACTGAGAAAATTGTCTTCCAACTTCAACATCATAGGAGAAACTAGCTCAGCAACAAAATTTTCTTTACAGATGCCAGGACTGGTTTAGCATCAGAATTTTATTCTTGCTCTGAACTAATGGGTCAATAGAGATGGAGCTCATTGAATTTGGAGAGTTTCTTATCTGAAGGAAACAATGAATCTGTCATCAGTAGCATTATTGAATAATTTAGAAATGGAGATTTGATCATCCGAACATGTTATGGTTGTGGCTGTCTAAGCCTGAGATACATGAAGTAGATTTTTATGCTTATAGTATGAAAAACTTCTTAAATTGATCCAACTGAAACCCTGTACAGTATATATAAGAACATATCAGAATTGCTTTCTATTATTTAGAAAAGGAGGATTTCTGAATTGGCTGTTCATGTCTCACTTGTCTTCCTCCCATCGGTGACGTTGATAAGGTAAGGGCTATAATTCCTGAAATGAAAGGACAGTGCTTCAGCCGCTATCCAAATTGAGAAGATATATATTTCGCAAAACAATAACATCTTAATTTAGGTAAAAATTCTAGCAAATAATATAAAAATGGCATTTCATTCAATACTTATAATTAGGATTTCGGGAGTGAGGTTTCTTGGTCAGTTAAAAACAATATATTACATGTAAAAATAAGACGAGAAGGAACTGTTATAATTTAGTGGTGTTATTTAGTAATGATTCAGGAAAGATAAAAGTAAACAAGTAAAGTAGAAGGGATGAAAGTGAGAGGACTGAGAGATGTGAGTGATATAGGATTCTTTCATAAAATCCTAGATCAGTAAAAATGAAAAGGGGGAGTGGGGGGTGTTTTATTTCATTAACCGTCATAAGGTTTCCTCCACTAAGTAAATGATATAATATTCTTCCTGGGACATCCACCATTTACAAATGACTGTATTTAACCTTACTCAAGAAAACCCAGTGGGAAAAAAACCTAAGTAAAGAAATACAACTCTATAATGAAATTTTAACATGAAGATGGACATACTTCATACTGCCTTGTTAAAAATCTTGTCAGAAAAACTTAGTGGGACAAAATCTGGTCAAGGAAAAAAGAGTATAGTGCACATATGTCTAAGTTATTGAGCCGTCGCGTACCGATGTTATACACTAACTTTTCAAATGTTGATGTCGATAAGGCCTCAGTGAATAAATCTGCAAGATTATCACTGAAGCGTATTTGTTTGACATTAATCTCTCAATTTTGCTGGAGTTCGTGTGTGTAGAAGAACTTCGATGAAATATGCTTGATTCTCTTTCCTTTGATATATCCTCCACTGACTTGAGCAATACATGATGCATTGTCTTCATTTATAATTGGGGGGGAATCTAAGGTACATGGCAATTTGCATGTACTTTCAATATGATGGATGCCAAATCTTAACCATATGCATTCTCGGTTGGCTTCGTGAAGCGCAAGAATCTCGGAGTGGTTGAAGGAAGTGACAACCAATGATTGTTTTATTGAGCGCCATGATATTGCAGTACCATTATAAGTGAAAACATATCCCGTTTGCGAGCGGGCTTTGTGAGGATCAGAAAGGTACCCGACATCTGTATAGCCAACTAATTTAGGATCATTATCAAACTATCTTGGATAAAATAATCCAAAGTCTTTTGTTCCATTGAGGTAACGAAAGACATGTTTGATCCCATTCTAATGTTGGCGAGTCGGTGCAGAATTAAATCTTGTCAACAGATTTATTGCAAATGCTATGTCTGGTCTCATACATTGTGCCAAATATAATAATGCGTCTATTGCATTTAGATATGGTACTTCAGGACCAAGTATCTTTTCGTCGTCTTTTTTACTACAAAATGGATCATTTTTAGGATCAAGAGACCGAACTACCATTGGGGTACTTAAGGGGTGAGATTTATCCATATTAAATTGCTTAAGGATCTTTGTAGTATAATTTGATTGATGGAGCAAAATTCCATCTGAACAATGCTCGATCTGCAAGCCGAGACAATACTTTGTTTTCCCCAGATCCTTCATTTCAAATTCTTTTTTTAAGTACTTAGCAGCTTTTGTGACTTCTTCAGGAGTCCCTATTAGGTTCATGTCATCGACATATACTGCCACAATTGCAAATCCTGATTCTGACTTTTTTATAAAGACACACGAGCATATAAGATCATTGATGTATCTTTCTTTAATAAGATATTCACTGAGATGATTATATCACATTCGTCCTGATTATTTCAACCCATATAACAATCTTTGCAATTTTATTGAATACATATTTCTTTTATTTGCTTCTGGCACTTTGAATCCTTTAGGGATTTTCATATAGATATCAGTATCCAATGTACCGTACAAATACGCAATGACAACGTCCATGAGATGCATATTGAGTCCTTTTAAGACTGATAAACTGATCAAGTATCGAAATGTGATAGCGTCCATCACTAGTGAATACGTCTCATCAAAGTCAATTCCGACTCTTTGCAGGAAACCTTGAGCCACTAGTCTGGCCTTATACCTAGCAATCTCATTTTTCCCATTTCGTTTCCTTGTGAATACCCACTTATATCCTACGGGTTTCATGTTTTCAAGCGTTTGGATTACAGGTCCAAATACATTACGTTTTGCTAAGGAGGTTAATTTTGCTTTAATTGCCTTTTCCTATTTTGGCTAATCATGTCTTTGTCAACATTCACCAACAGAACGTGACTCAAATTCATCATTCATAATTTCAGTAGCTACTTCGTATGAAAATATGTTATCGACAATAGTTCTTTCACGTCCCACATTTCTTTACTATGAGCATAGTTTATATAAATTTCTTCATTTCTATGTTCTTGCATTCCTTTAGGGGTTTGTTCCTCTTCAGGGGTTTCTATTCGTTCAGGGACTGTTAATCTTTTAGAGTTAGTTTAGTCAATATTGGTACCTATTTGATTCTGTGCCTTTCGTTTTCTAGGAACAGTATCCTTGGCTCCAACAGGCATACCACGCTTCTGGCGTGTAATAGATGAATTAATCGTTGCCCGTATGGATTGTTCATTGGTAACATCAATCTTTGCTAGTGTATTGACAATAGGAATGTATGATCTCGTTATTTTTGCTACATCCGTAAATGCATCAGGCATTTGGTTGGCAATATTTTGCAAATGTGTTATTCTTTGTACTTTAATTTCAGATTAAGATGTGCGAGGATCTAAATGAGACATAGAATTTACTTTCCAAGAAATTTCAAACCTTACTTCAGAAGGCTTTACCTTTCCCCCCTAAAGGAGGAAATATTGTCTCATCAAAATGGTAATCCACAAAACGTGCGATAAACACATCACCCATCAAGGGCTCAACATATCTGATGATAGATGGTGAGTCATAGCCAATATATATTCCCAAACGACGTTGGGGTCCCATTTTGGTGTGTTGAGGGGGCGCAATTGGAACTTGCATAGCATACCCAAAAGTTCTTAAATTGGATATTAGGCTGGTGTCCAAATACAAGTTGTATTAGAGAGTATTGATAATATGTAGTGGGTCTTAGGCGAATTAACGCTGCAGCATGTAAAACAGCATGAGCCTAGGTAGAAGTCAGTAATTGCGTACGTAGTAGCAAAGTTCTTGCAATTAATTGGAAAAGCTTATAAATGACTTTGCCTGTTAATGTATGCCCTAGGAACCAATCGTGTTTTCAATTTCAGGACATTATATCTTGTAAATGTATTATGAATAAAAGAAAGTGTTCTTATTTCACATGTTGATTTTCTGCTTCATTTATATTATATTATATTTAATATTGCATGTGAAATGTCCGGATGACACGGATCTTCAGAAGATCAAATCATCAAAGAATTCTCTACGTAAGTAATGTTAATTGGGCAATAACATTGCATAGTAGGCATGCTGAATGTCTCCATTGAATATCATGTGATGGTATTAGTGTGGGTGATTATAAGAGGTATGTCACTAAAGCATTAGTATGGATAAACGGTTAGTGAACTGTTTTTCGAATACGACCGATTACTATGAATCACATGGATATGGTCAATGATTCATCGTAGGATCGTGCTATTATACCATTGATCCTTAGACCTGAGACATCACGGTTGGATTCAACATAGGATGCATATAGTTCATATGGTGTATAAGCACGAGACTAGTCATGTCTTGTGTAATAAGCCAGTTTGGTCATATGTTATTCATGTGCGAGGACAAGTGATGGTCAAGATGGGATCCGTTAACTCAAAATAGTCCAATCTTGAGTTCCCAGATGAATGTCAATAAACATTGGAAAAGGGAAATCTCTGGTCAGCGTATAATGAATGTCAAATGAAAAGTAGTTTTATGTTGACGAGTTCCATTGTATCGATTGTCAATTCTATTTAAGATTAAGGTAAAGGTTTTGACATACCATGAACCATTCTTAATCGGGATTAGATAACGGAGGGATTTGACTACACAGTACGTACGATCAGAATAGGTTCATTGGAGTTTACACTTCATTGTGGTTTAGGGGTTATGAAACATTGCTAGACGTCTACCATAATCAGTGGGAGTTTCGATTATAAAGAATTATAACGAAGC